TGTACTGTAGGTCTAGGTCAATGTAAGGCACGACGGAGTACGAAAGTCGATTAAGAATGTTTCGGATCTTCTTAGTAAAGGTAGGTACCTAACCTACCTAATTATTAGTGAGTCGGTAGGATACATACAATTTTATAGTGGTAAAGACAAAAATTTGGTGTTAAAATATTTTAGGCATTCCATTTTTACACCACGGTATAGAAAATACAGTTTCAAACCTTCAATTAGGTACAAAGGCTGAATATTTATGGTTGTTCTTTTTACAAAATAGGGTTTTGTGCACGTACGGGTATGGTTCCCGCAATTCCCAGGCGTGGTGATGCAGTCGGATCAAGAACTAATCATAATGTGCAAGCCTCCAGAACCGACCATCATTGAGAACAAGGCAGCGGGATTCGCTGGTAGCTTGTGAGTACCTGAAATTAAAACTAAACATAAAACTGTTTACGTATTTTACTTACTAGCATCTCCATTTCGCCCAAGAGCTATTATCTGCTACTTTCTCGGGAATGTATTGTTATATTTCTTTCGTATAAACGATCATCAAATTTGGTCCAACCAGCCTCAAAATTTGGGTTCAACAACACATTTTAGACTCAATTATTTTGCCTAAAAGTTTGTTTTATAAAAATATCCTCAGCCCTCACGGTGCAAGAGTGTCAGGAGTGGTGGAGGAGACTCCAGGGCGCTTGGAGTACGAGGTGGCGTTGTACAAGGAAGCCCCGCCCGTGACCAGGCATAACAATCACTCTGTTGACTTGCCTGTTGATCAGGTAACTGGTGTACGTTCTTTTCTTCACTTTTTCTTCTATCCCAGTAATCAATTAGACCTACATTTAAGCACATACGTATAAACTTTATGTGTCACCTCGTTTGAAAGTTATTTTTGCAATATAAAAAATAAAACAATATATAAAATCTTTAAATAATATCTATGTAGTTATTACTTACAAATAATATTAAACCGTTGATCGTGAAGGCGGTACCAATCGGCACGAAGCTCCAGTTGCGCGCGCGCATCAACCCAGACTCAGCATGGCGTCACATCAAACTGCTAGAGGTGGCCGTCTCACCTGACCCTGATCGGCCACACGCGCCCGGCGCCGTGCTGCTCGTCAAAGATGGGTAAGTCGCGTAAAAATATCACTTCTTATTTTACTTTTTTAGTGAATAAGGAAAATTGTTACGAGTAGGTACATTTAGTGATCTGACTTTCTTGTGTTTTTCGTAGTTAGGTACTCAAAATGTTTGCGTAATCCTAAACGAAATTCAGATCTTTAAATCATTCTCTAGAAGTTCGAACTCCAAAATGTTTTTGTATGAAACTTCCATCGAACGTTCCGTGGAAGTTTCATTCGGTACAATATACGCACACCGACTTTCATAAGATACAATATAAATATACGAATTTCTCGAACAGTTGTAGAAATCGGGACTTTGCCTCAATAATCCCGCACCAGCCGGCTCGCTACCGAGAGAGACATAACGAGGTGTTCCTAGACTTTGAAGCTTTCTTACTAGCTTCCATGAAGGAACGCTCTACACTTTGGATTCACTCACAAATCAAGGCTTGCATGGATGCTGCTGATTGTCAACCGGACTATTGTTTGGACTTATTTGAACCATCAGGTAACTTAATGTACTTACTTATCTTACAGTTATTAAGTTATAACTCGCTATTTAGTAAAGACATTCGTTTCCAATACCTCTTGGACATAGAACATTTAATTTTACGAAATGATAAGTACCTACCTATCTTACTTCATATACCAGTACCAGACGTTTGAATCTCACATTCGATCCACTTAAATGTAGACCAATTATGACTTCGATGAAATTGAAAAAATGTGTACTTAAATGTTTTATTTCACATGTGCCTTAACAAATCAATTTCCATTTGCTAGATGCCTCGTAAGTAATAAATGTAATTATTTATTTTATAGGACACGGTCGTCGACGAAGATCGCTGGCTGAGGGTTCCCACAGCCACAACATCACGAGTTCGGCATTAGTGGCTGACAACTCTACGACTCCATTCACACGGTTTAAAGAGAACTTGGAATACTCCGTAGTGATGCCCGGGGAACTGTTCCATAGAACTCCTATAGAAGCTACGTGCGCCACGTCCATGATGGTTGCTGTCGCTTTGGGAGCGCTTCTCTTCATGTCTGCTTTGCTAGTAAGTGTTTTGCTTTATAAAACTCTGATATTACCTCAATATGCGTTATGGATACAGATTCACCGTGACACACACATACATAATGACCAAAAGGCATATGGTCCACATCCTTCCTTCTTGAATTAGAAGGGAATGTAATATCATTACTTGTTCTACTAATTCTGACATTACCGGCAATATTTTAGGTACCCTTACCAACTATATGGATCGCGACTAATTGTAGCTACAAAGTTCTGTTTAATAAAGTAAGCTGGTTACCAATATGGTTATAGAGGACTTAATTGATTTTAGTCGCTATTCTTTGTACGATCATTTAGTTTTTCCATTTACGGAACGAATAATTGAAGAGGCATGGACAAATTATATCGCCTTCCGGCGAAGGCACCGTAACAAAATACAGGATGACTCTCCTCAAGTTCCTTTTCTGGTTAACTATCTTCTTAAAATTTGTGTTAATTGTTTATTTACCAATAAGGTTTAACTTTTGCAAATTGTTTAACTATTGGTTGTTGCTGCGGGAAATAATGAAACTATTAATTGATTATGGACCTAAATACCTAGCTGTTGCTCAAAGATGGGCACAATCCTCATACCATCAACGATTGCATCACTGCTTACCATCAGGTGGGATTGCAGTCAAGCATTAGTTTATTGCAAGTAAAAAAAAAATAGTTTGTACTTAGATTAATCTAAGTAATTCCAACATGGAGTAAAATTTTTGCCTAATATCTCATCAACATTAAGATAATTATTAATTTATTATTAATCATTCTTCATCATCATTATAAAAGTTCGAATCCTAATGACAGGTGCCTATATAAATATTTCACAATATTAGGTATATGTTTGTTGGCGGATAAGGTTATCTAGTTATCGATTTTCATATGTGTTTTACTTTATTTTTTCAGATGTGCTACTTGGCAACGAAATTAAACTCTACGATGCTGAAAAACAGCAGTCTCCAATCACCATCGGGCAAAGGGTTTGAGCAGATCTTGAGAGAGTTGGCACATCACTCGTTACCGGACACCGGCTACACTGGACGCCCTACCGTTCAGTGATAGTAGAATAAGAATTTAAAAAACTGTGAAAAACTCATCGGTTTAACTATTTCCTTGAATAGGTCGATTCTCACGTCGATTTTTCCTTATAGTAGTTAAGTAGGTAGGTATAGTTTTTTTTATAAACAAGTTCTCTCACTCGTTCGCCTAAATAGTTACAAAATGATTGAGCTAAGAAATAAATTCTGGTTGTACTTAACATTTTGTACCCAAGTAAGATCTTTTAGCTGATCGATAAAAGACCTCAAAAAACTTTAATAAATAATGCAGCCTGCTCAGATCTGCAAATAAACTGGTTTTATATCAGATAGACATACCCAGGAAAAATATTTAAAATATTTTTTGATGAACCAATGAGGGCATTAGTTTGAACTGGACTTATTACATAAAGTCTGGATACGTAAATACTTAGTATAGTAGATAGTTTTCTATTTACACATTTCCCAAGATGACCTATAGTTTAAACCAGGATTCCGATCGTTAAGGCCAATTAGAATAAAAAAATACCGTAGATAGGGACTACTTTTTACCTGGGTTCTTATTAATTCTATTACTTGAATTTAATATTATCTAAGTAAAAATAATTATATTATAATTTATTACTTATGACTGAAAAATCGCAAGTTTAAATCTTTGCGGATAACTTGGTAATTTTTTCAGTCATGACTGTCACGTGAATAGTAAGTATTAATAAATTAATTTAATAATTTATTTCCGAAATAATTTATTATGTAAGTGTAAATTAAGTCGAATAAAAGAAAATAAATGTGGATTGTTTTTTATTTTAATTATGCAATAATTAATTTTAGCAATCTATGTATGGTATGAAGAAATGAGAAAGAAAATACGGTTAGCTTATTATGCTGGGTGCTGAGAAAAGTGAGCGAGGGTCTGATTTCACGTCGTTTGACAATTAAATGGTAGGTACTGGTGATGACTGATAAAGATCTCAGGTCTGTTTAGTTGCCCCTAAATATGAATACAAAGAAAGCGAATAGGTAGGTACTTCTACTGAAACTAGAAAGAAAATAAAAATTGCGTAGTTTGGTTTCTGACAATATATTGTAAGTACCTACCTACTGTTGGTATCGTGTTCTACAGGTGACAATTTAAAGAGGATAGATACAAAACTATAACTACCTTCTTTCAAATTGTGAATACTTAGATCTACCGTAGTAAATACTGCTCAGGTAATGAGGCTATAGGCATATAAAGGTACCTAAATTAGATGCCAGGTCGATAGTGGCCTTATCTTACTAATTATTATAGTACCAACTCGTAAATTACAATTTAGCGTCAAAAAGTTTCTATTTATCGTAGTAGGTACCGTACTTCAGCCATCTTCCCAGACGTGCTGACAACCTTATAGACCTGCTGGTCGTGTTAGGAAAAGTATACCTACTTTCACAAAACTCTTATAAGTAGGTAGTTACCCAATTTAAATCGGCAATAGGAAATGCTAGGTATGTCAGACTGCTCCAGAAATGGCGAGAGATACTGAAGAAAATTATTATTGTGTCCACCCCAATACCTACATAATTATACGGCCACCCTTACGTGATCACAATTGCTCTGCTAAGAGGAAAAAGACATGATTTATAAATAGTTAATGATATTATTATATTATATAGGTATTAGTATTTTAATGATCCACGATTAAAATAATAAAAGATTTTTCTTGATTTTTAAACGTAAAATTCTGTGTCAATGTCAAATTGTAAATGTCTTAGCTGGAAACATTCCATTGTCGTTACATAGATATTTTTAGCAATGTTTATCTAGTGTTTCATGCATTCGTATCGATCTATCCTTTTCTCAGTAGTTACCATGCATGTGTCAAATTGACAGTGTCAACTGTGATGTTATTTCTATTCTATAGACTGATAATTAGCGAAAATTAATTTAAAAGTAGTACTCAAATTTTAAAATTCATTTGACGATAACAATGAGCAAAAGAAGTGGTGCTGTTGTGGCAGCAAATCTTAATTCAAAGAAACCAAAGCATTGGTCTTTGGGCTTACTAGAAACTATGAAAGATCCCGAAAGTATTGTGAAAAAATCAAAACAAGTTGTTGTAATCAAAGATAAATATCCAAAGGCCAAAATCCACTTCTTGGTGCTGCCTGAGGCCGATATTAATAGTATTTATGCGTTAGATAAGAGTCACATAGGACTTTTAGAAGAATTTGGAGAAATATTTGAAGAGATTAAAAAAGAAGAAAAAGCACCTTTAAAAGCCGGTTTCCACGCTGTTCCCAGTATGCAAAGGCTACATATGCATATCATAAGTACAGATATGATATCACCTTGCTTAAAAACAAAGCAGCATTGGAATAGTTTTACTACAAAGTTTTTTAGACCTTACGCAGGTAACTTACAAATTTAATACCTACTTCTACACTCTGCATAATTTTATCCTATTTTTAAATATATGTGCTTTGTAAGTTTTTAAACAATAATAAGCTTCACACCCAAACAAGGGATTTTTAATACTGATTTGGCCAAAATAAAGTAAGTACTAATATTTAATTCTTTGAATTGTTCAAAAATAAGATGAAGTATAAAATAAATAGTGCCTAGTGAGGTGGTGACTGCTGCAAACAATGTCACCATTGATACATGGCACTTGGTCAGCCTTTCCCTTTCATACCCTACAAATTTAAATGGGTTCCATTAATCAAACCCCAAGCAAATGCCATTGAAAGGTGAAAATAGTTTTTAAATAAAAGGTAATTTATAATTATACATTTATCAAAGTTTATTATTCTATAATAACAGTTTTATTTTAGATTGTAAGCAAAAAAGTCTTGATAAATATATTTTTGTGCCTATAAAGTAGTGATACAAATCTCTCACAAAATTTCATTTGATTTGTTACAGATGTTTTAGAAGAATTAAAAGAGAAGGGTTGTGTTACAAAAATGACACCTGAATTGATACAAAGTTGTAAATCAAGTGCACTACAGTGTAACCAATGTTCATACAAACCAAAAACAATGCCACAACTTAAAGAACATTTATTAACACATTTAGAGAAAGTGAACAATTAATTAATATTAAGCTAATTATTTTTTACTACTTTGTAAGCTATGCATTCTATGCAATAGATAATCTCCATTTCCTTTTTTTTACTAAAATCCACAAATGAGTAGCAATAATATATACAGGATAAATTGTTTGTCATGTCAAATTGTTTCTATCTAAATATAGGTATATTCCCATAACTTAAAAATGGTTTTAAGTACCAAATTGATGTGCTAGATCATTTACAAAAATACATTTCCACTTGTCAAGTAATTACAAGTACATACATTTCATGTAAAAATTGCAAAATATTGAATTGGAATATTTTGTCAAAAGTCTTGATTCTATTTAGGTTCTAATTTATATGATTTTATTAAAATTTCTAAAAAAAGAATAAAATTGCACATCTTTAATTGCCTAAAATTTCCTGCATCTTAGTAACAGAGAACATACATAATATATGTATAGTTTTTCGTTCTAAAACCTAGGAATTGAGCTAAATTATCCTTCAGTCCACTTTACAGTGGTTTATTAAGGCTAATGTAGTTGGAACTAGAAAGGGTTACTAAGATAAATATTATCTTTACTATACTTTCCTAACATTATAAGTTCTATCATTATTGTTAAGAGTTAGTCCAGAGATAAACTTTGTACACGTGTGTATTTAGAACTAGGACTGTCTTCATCTAATATAGAAGGTGTCTCAGCGCTACTACTCCCATCTTCTGAAACATTATAAATGGACATGTTTCGCCTTTTGAATGATTTCTTTTTAGTTTCAGACATTGGTGTTTTACATTCATAAATCAAACTGTCGAAATTATTTGCTGCTGTAGTAGGCTCTGGTGTTGATGTAGGTGAAGAGTTCTCATTTTCTCCACACGGTGTAACTGGTGGTGGAAGACAGAGTGACAGCTTTGATGATTTGATAGGTGTTTGCATAACAGGAGTTTGCTCAACTGGTTTTGGTGAAGAATGTAAATTTTGTGTTTCAAAATTTGTTTCTCCAACTTCAACACATGGTTGTCTCATTTTCCGACCAGACCTTGCCATCACTACTTGTACTGGGTCATCAATTCCAAGTTTTTCACATAGTTCAACTGTTTGAGGATTGAGTAATGGTTCCTGTGGAGTAATTTTTGGTGCATTTGGATTGAATGGTGCAGCAGTCCTGACAAAACTATTTTCTGTTATTAAAAGACTTCCGAGTAAACTTATCACTTTTTCCTTTTCTGCTTCTGTAGGTGTAAAGTCATACCTCTCATTTCCACCAGGACCAGGCATGTGCTGATTAACATTTTTTACAACAAGCAAATGGTTTGTATTTCTTAAAATTGCTAGCCATTCAGCATCATGCTTTAGGCACATGTCACCATTATACTCAGGAGGTATATCTAAAATCTGCAGATGTCTTCGCTTAGGTAAACATTTGTCCAATGCTAAGAACTTTGTTTCTGAGTCATCATGCTTGACAATTGCTGCATATTGGCAATGCAAATGTGCTGCAAACCAATAGTCTGGTTTCAGTGACTGAAGTAATTTCATAGCTGGAACGCTGCCTAATTGACCAGACTCTATGTCTTCCCTGAAAAAACAAGAAATAAGATGATAAGCATATTTTTACACTACCAATAAAAATAAAATTTCATGTATTATTAATTATTTTTATTAATTATTTTATATTATTGTTTAAGTTGTTCACACAAAAGATAAATCAATTTAACCTAAGCATTGTAACCAGAAACACAATATCAATGTGTTCACTTGGGCTTTGATGGGATTAAATAAATGTTGATAAATTAAGAAAAAAAATACAATAAACATACCTCAAAAATGTTTTGAAGTGCAACAACTTTTCCGTGTTGCCATAATCAGTGATGCCTCTTGGCCAGTCATGGGACAGCATAACATTGACTTTCTCTTTAAGCTGGTTTAGCCTAAAGACCTCCAGAGATCTGACATGGTACACACTTCTAAGCGAACTTTGGTTATAGGGCAGGCATTCCCAGTGACCTTGTCCATAGTCCTGACCTTTGTAAATTCCTGACATTCCTATAAAATATTATATAAATAAAACTAAGTAAAGTAGACAAAAGAATAAAAAACGTTTGAACTTTAGGAGTCATTGATGTGACAAAATAAAACAATATAGTTTGGATCTTACCTCCAATTCTCAAATCTCCAAACCTAACAACACCAGCTCTGCCCAAATAATAAATATTAGGAGCCACCCAGCCGCCATAAGGCAGTTCTTGCAAATAGTTTGAAGCCTCATGATTGCCTCCAATGAATATTGTCAATATAGGAGCCCTTTTCTCACCACTGTAATATCTGCAATGAAATGTACAATTTCATTTGTAAAGAGAGCACAACAGAATACGGTAATAATTACCACATTAGTTAAGTCATAGTATAATTATAACAAAATGACACAAATCCGGTAAAAGGTTCTAAAAATCTTACTTGTGAAATGAACACATATGCTGATATTTCTGCGGCACAGCCATAGCTCGCAGGTCCTCGTGGTTACGAACAGCTTGAAAGTCACCGCAACATATCAAGAGATCGATCTTCATGTCTTCCCTCCTCTGAATTGTTTCAATACACTCGTATATTTTTTCAAGTTCGCCATGGGCGCAACCTTCTACAGCGATTTTCATTTCTAATGATTAATTGTAATGACGTCTGACGTTGAGATCTTTTGGTAACGCTTGTATGTACAATAAAAAATAATTTTACTTATAATATATCGATTATAACCTAATATAACACCACTATTTCTTTAAATCTGCACAAGCAACACAACAAGCACAACACAAACTGTAAACATTTTTATGACAGAATCAATTTTTTTTTAGTTTGTGGCCTACAAGCCTACAAGTCTTTTAAGCCAAACAGAGTAAAAAATAACATACCGAGTGTGACCAGTTTAAAAAAATAAAATAGTGACGTAGCCAGTGTCGAAGTTTTAAATATTTACCAAAACGATTTCTTTTTAATTTTTATTCTACAAAATAATTATAAAATATATTTTATAAATAATAATGCTGAACGAAGGCCTCTTCTCCACACACCCCGCTATCTCATGTCGGATTGGCAAGTCCAGGACAGGTTTTATACGATACTTACCTTCATCATGTCTGTTATGTATAATATAACCATAGAAAATACATATAACTTTGACAAAGTCGCATTGCCACTTGCCAGGTTATGAATCCGCACCCTGTTGCCTGAGAAGCGGGCGCCTTAACCTCCGGGCCACCACGACGTTATCACTATAATTTTACCATAAATCTAAAAGTCTAGCCACAATAAACATTTGTTTTGTTGTACTTAAAAATAACAAAAGAAGGGTAAATAAATTAATTCATGGTTTAATATAACTTAACCTAAAAAGTCACGGTGTATAAATAACAGAAATTCCAATAAGTATTTATTAACCATTTACAGCATAATAAATTTTCAACGTAGGTCATATTTTGTACAATTCGCAACCAATGACGTACTTTTTTATGTGATAGGTCGGCAAACGAGCAGACGGATTACCTGATGATAGCAATCAGCGCCGCCCATGGACACCCGCAACGGAGGAGTTACGAGTGCGTTGCCGACCTTTTAGGGATTAGGGATTTAGAGATTTAGGGATTGTGGAAGGGGAAGGTTTGGGCCTCCAGTAACCTCACTTACGAAGTTACGAGGCGAAACACAACGTTGTGGTTGTTTCACGCCGGTTTTCTGTGAGGCCGTGGTATCACTCCGGTCGAGTCGACCCATTCGTGCCGGAGCATGACTCTTCCACACTTGCTGTTTTTGAGCTCATCAGTTTATAAATGCTAGAAAAAGAATTTGTCGATAGTACCGCTAAAAACTCCATTTATTCTAATGATAAACTCTGAAATACTGGTTACTAAAAGATTTTTTTTTTTAGAAAAATTATCTTATAATTAACGACACCAGCAACTAAAAACGGTCTTGTAGCGTCTCGGTCGTTTGTTGTAAGTCACAACACTACATAAAACTAAAAAAACTGGTCACATCGAAATTTAAAAATAATATGGTGAAGAATGGCTTCTGCCAAATATTTTTACATTATGTGAGTACGTGACTGACAGATTCAATAAATATCCACTCAATTCAAACCTATCCAAATGTGTGACCAGTAAATTGTTATCCTTAAATAAATAAATGTTTGAAAGATTGCTCACATGATGGCGTTGGTCTAGCAAAAGTCAGTTTTGTGGCCAATGGATTAGGTACCTATTATATTTCTATAGTCTAAGGGCCAATCACTAGCTATACTAATGATTTAAACAATATAATTTTTGTAGCTTAGACCATAGACAAGTAATATCTCCATGGTTTATACGTTGGGTACGAGGTAAAGTTCTTGAAAGATCGTTAGGAATTACAAAATAAATACAGGCCACAACTTTTTCAAACTATTAAGTCAGTTATAGAACTGCGACTGCGGCGAGAGGGAGCGACAACTGTAAAACTCTTACTGACTAAAACCTCACCATTCCTTCTCTTGCTTTAGGTTGAGGCCGCGTTCTTTATTAACCCTCAACCTCAGCTAAGCATCGGCCATTTTGGGCCCCATCTGTGGTGGTCGATTGGCTGACATTCAAAAGTGCGCCATTTCTATTGGAAAAGATATCTATAGAAATATTGATTACTGGGTAAATTATCTAACTTTTCATTTAGTACAAACAAACCTTATAAGTATCTGAAAATATCAAACGCAACAAAAAAGTAATTAATTAATTGGTGCAGTCTTCAGATCATCAGATCGTCAGAGTGTTAAGGACGATTTATTTTTAAATAATAATCATTCGGGTAAATTATTAAGTATGGTCATAATTAAGTGATTAGGAGTACTACTTACTTAAGAAAAACAATGTAGGTACGGGAGTGTTCTGCGAGTGTAATACGTGACGGCGACTCTGCATTACACCTGTCCAGCTTGAACAACACCAAGTTCCCATGTACTAGACATTTCTCCCACAATAAGTATGAAATTGTTCATAACTGTGTTTGGAATGTCTTATCAGTATAATGTAATATTTAATAGAGAGACTTAAAAGCTAGTCCTCTGAAGAGACTTCAACTCTTTTAGAGGGAAACCCGGAACTCTCCCGCCGAAGCCTCGGTTTTTATTTTGGACACAATTACCTCCAATAACAAGTAAATTAATTTTATCATAATACTTGTCGTAACTTTTACGATGACACGGTTGGTGCGGTGGCTGGGCCACGTGTTGCGGGTTCGTTCCCGGACAGAGCAATTGTTTGTGTGATCGAAAAATTGTTGTTCCGGGTGCGGATGTGATGTATATTTAAAATTGTATGTTTGCACCTTATCGCAACCACGACACAATAGAAAACCCCGAATGTGGTGCTCCACATTACGATTTTCTCCTGTTTAAAAAATAGCGAGAATTAGACTACTAGAATTAGACCAGGCCACGTTGGCCAGAATTAGAAGCAGCATTCATCTTTATATAAAAAAAAAATAGTGTCACGTGTTTTTCCGCGATGGACTCCTAAACTACTAAACCGATTTTAAATTTGATTTGTACTCCGTGTGCATTTTGATCCAACTTGAAAGATAGGATAGCTTTCTTCTTATATTTAATAAAATTTGATAAAATACATCTGACTCTAACTAAAAAGGTTTACCTGGCAAACAAGTTCGGCTAATGTTTTTGATGAAACAACATGACATGAATGTTTTAAAAATATAAATTGCCAGTCCATTACATATCTACTTCCCAGAACTGAAACAAAAATTAGTAAATAACAAAGACTAGTAACCAACTACTCAGGGGCAACGATGCAATCAAACTATGTTCTATTAACTTCTATTATTGGACACTTCAATTATTCTTTGATCCTACTTCCTATCTGTGAAAGTGTCTGTAATGTTTGGGTGTGTGTTTGTAATTCTTTCAAGCGAAAACGGGAGCACTAATTTGGTTGAAATGTGGTATGTAGATAGGCGGTACCCTAGATTAACACATAGGCTACTTTTTGTCAACATACCACGCGGGTGAACTCGCAGCCGGAAGCTAGTATCTTCATAAAAAGCCGTTGATCATTTGTTTCGTAGCACTTCGTAGCGGTCGTAGCAAATTCCCAAACATTACGATTTTTCGTATGTCTCGACATATAGGTAGATAGGTAGGCGTATTACTTAAATTATACATAGATCTTTTTAATACTTAACACATTTAGAAACCAAAATGAAATAATTTATTTTTGTATAGGGCCGCACGAACGGTACTAAAGTTACGGTGTACAAAGTCTAAAACTTTTTTCAGAAGAGTATAGTTACTAGGGAATAGTATAAACAAGGAATAGAAAATAATTTTCTATTCTGTGAGTATAAATAATACTTAGGTATCATTGAAAGACTCTGAGTGCGGCGGTAAATATTAAAGTCAAATACAACTTATTGAATAGTTAACTTTTTCAACTGAATAAATTAATTAATAAATTTATCATTAAAAAGATAAAGCTATACCCCAATTCAAAAGAACCACACTTTTTATTTGTCTCGATATAACGCAGGCAAGCATTGCAACGTAGAAAGGTAGGTAAGGCTTGTAAATTCGAGTAAAGTATTAAGTTCATAATTACATATATAACCATAAATAATTTTAGAACATGATGACACAAATAAATTTAAAATCCGTAGTAGCGAGGTAGAGGCGGGTGTTGCTAGTCAAATTAATTTCAACAAATTGTTAAAAAAATCATATAAATATGTACCTACCTACATAAGTACCTATATTATATATTACGTACTAGGTACCTAAATGCTAACTCGACAAACGATAGCTTACCTACCTACCGCATACCTTGACAACTCAATTAGCGGTTACATTGCGTGAAGTGGGTACAAAATTAGATCGTGCTAATTGCTACGAAGTGGAAGGTTTAATAAAAAGCAACTAATTGCATGAGTTAGTGGACTGTCGATCGTGTAACGTGGCCGCAGCACGGAGGTACTATCGGATATTACCATTACAGTTCAAGGAGTAATTTTTTGTAAAGTTTAGAATAGATGTTATAAGAAACTATCATATGCGAAGAAAATATTTTTCCTCGAACAAACTGCATGTGAGTAACAGAAACCATATTTTCTACACACATTGCACTGAACCTCACTATCAGGTGTCGGCCTGGCTTCTCCAGTAATCACGTAGATAAAGGCCCGGGCGCTGTGACGTCAGAGCGGCCGGCCGAGCGCACCAATGACATCGCAAGGCGGTGCTACATGCGCAAGCGCACCGCCCACTTACACAACTAAAGGGAAATCTTGGAAAACTTGCAGTGCTCTCGCGCGCAAACTAAAACAAAATGGGAATATAAAATGGGCAATCTTTCTATGTTTCATTGGTTCTTTGTTTTTTTTTATTAAAAATAAACATTTGCTTACAAACCGTATCACACCATCTCAAATTAAATTTCACAAGTCGCTTTCAATTTTTAAATAAGTTCGGCAATGAGAATATTATTATCATCCTTATTTATAAGTAGATATCTGGCGATGATGTTTACAAGCTCACGTATATTTTATAAGTTTATTTACTTTAAAGCGCATTATTATAATGAGTAATCGATAAGTAAACAAATACGATCCCGACGTATCAGCGACCGGCGCGCGCGCCCCTTCTGTCAAACATTTTTATAGTTATGCGCAGAGCATAAGGAACTCTTTATAGTCTATGCGCGCGAGTCGACCGCACGCGCGTTCATCTTGCGACGTTTGAAAAAATTCTTCGCGGTATTCGAATATTTGAAGTTTTTTGAACTGAGTAGTGACAATGAGCTGGGAACAAGATCGCGACCGGCCAGGTGACAAGTTGGAACTCAATGAGGCAGTCGGAAAATTGTTGGAAACTTTCAATGAATATGACAACATCGTGCAACAGCCGACGAGGTAGGCACCTAGTACTTATAGGTCGTAATATTATTTATTTACTTTCGTGCATTGCCCAATAATATGTACATACAAGACTATATGTATCAATCAATTTCGTTATTGCAGACAGTTTTAAATATGTTTGATCAAACAACTTATTATTTTTCATAAAAAAAATCCTAATTACTTTTTTAAACGTTGTTTCAGAAATGTTATTAATTATTATTTTTAGTATTTATTACCTTAGATGGCAAAGATTTTCACCGTTTCCTTTGTATTCTTACCTTTTATCTTATAACTCGAAGCTTCTATCAATATGATAAGCTTTTTTTAGTTTTTATATTTCCGTTTGCCTAATCTCTTAAGTAATGTTATAGCGTAGTGATTTTCCATATCAGTAGGTAACTACTTAACCAGACTCGTTTAAAAAGTTAGTAGGTACGTAGATACGTATTTCAAAATAAACAAGTACCTTTATGTAAAAACATACGTACGTAACATAACAAAGTTAAGCACTAACAACTTACTAACCTAGATTTTATTCCCTCTTCTTGAAGTATGTTTCAACACTTTAGTAACTACTTTCCTTCCTAGAATTTTTTTTTCACTTTTTTCAAAATCAGACTGAAATTACCTATTGTTATGTTTCGAGCCCCATGCTGAGAAAATAATGAAAAAAAAAAACTCAAAAACGAACCTGTGAGTAACACATAAATATTTTGAAAATAACGACTGAATAAGAAAATCTCTCAGTAGCTTGCGCGACGTAGCTATAACGCGCAAGCAGCTCGCGACTAAGAGTCCCGTTGTGACTTGAAAGTAGTAGAGCTTGTTTTTGTTAATTCACGTAAGTCGTTACCGGCCTTTTTGGGGATTACGGATTGGGGAGGGGCAGGATTGGGCCTCCGCTAACCTCACTCACACGGCGAAACACAACGCAGTGGTTGTTTCACGCCGGTTTTCTGTGAGGCCTTGGTATCACTCCTGTTGAGCCGACTAATTCGTGCCGAAATATGGCTCTCCTACACTTACCTTTTTACTTTTCCCAGAAAAACTTCTATTATAATTTCTTTTGTCACTAAGCAAGACGTTACCATGTTGAAATATTTTTTGCCCATACACTGCCATCGCAATCGATTTTGACCGATGCACGGTAGCGAAGGATTTGCCTTCAACATTTTTTGTTGGCAATTAAAGACTAGATAGATACAAACAAAGCCTTCTCATTTGGATTAACAATAAGTTATAAGTATAATTCTTTTCTCTGTCCTGATTTAGAATCACCAATTCCCTCCCCCCATACTGCATCTCCAAATCCTCTGTCCTTAAATCCCTTATAACCTTCACAAGTGTCCATGGGCGGAGCTGATTGCTTACCATCAGGTAATCCGTTTGCTCTTTTGTCGACCTACATAAAAAAATCATTGACCCGCTCCGGCTTCGAAATGGTTGCAATGCATATACTATTCTCCGGTATTTTATGGATGTTATTATACATGTGAAATATCCTATTCAATCACTGTATCTTTAAAAAATGCATCATAATCCATTGGGAAGTTTTAAATATTTAAGCATAAATAGAGTTATAGGGACAAAGAAAGCGACTTTGTATTATTACATTATATTTAAAAACACTACTTAGTAGTAACGTACGCGGTTACGCGTAACGTATTCTGGGAATTAATTCTGCTCTGTGACCTATTCGGTAGGCAGTGTATTCTCGTCCCGTTTCTTCGGTTTTTTTTTTATATTATGACATTTTGTGAAGGCTCTAGGATTTTCTTATGTATCGTTGGTCTTTTTACGAACATACTATTTTAATTAACATACACAAACCACCCAGAACCGAAACAACAATTTGTCGATCACACAAAATGTTGCAGCGCAGTGGCTGGACAGTCGGATGCAGGGCAAATTGTAGCAGGTTCGATGTCTACACGGAGCAATTCTTTGTGAATAATAATAACAAATTATTGTTCCTGGTCTAGGTGTATTTTTTATGTAAAACCATAAAAACCGTCAGAAGGTTGCAGGAGAAAACCCAACTTATTCAAAAAAAAGGAAAAACTTGACTAGAATAAGTAAATCCCGTAAGCGAAGGTCTGCAGTCAGCGAGCTAGGGTAGCTCGCCGCCAACCAGAGCCAAACTTCACTGCACGGTTGGCACAGTGGCTGGACAACTGGCTGCTGTGCAACGTCTTATTCGATTCTCGCACGGAAAAATACCGACGCACTGGCGAAATCCTAGAGTGGCGCAACGTTTTTTTCCTAAAAAATAAAAAAAAAATGGTACGGCCTGTCGCGTTCCGCGCGCGTCTCCGAGAGATATCTGACCATGGCATGATAGACTAGGACCATGTCCAGCTGGGGTTTTGAGTGAACGCGCAATAATATTCTGCACCCCCGGTCCGCAGTTCTCAGCAGAAGAAACGATGTGGTTTTTAGTCAGTAAGAGTCTGACCCTCTCTGAGAAATGATTCGATGATTTCCGCCCTCAAAAAAAAAAACACTTTAACTTCATTTTTTAAGACTAGCCTACATAATTCTGCGTGTTTTTATAGATTTATTCCCGATATAAAATACGAAGTTAATTAATGTCAGGCAAATTACCAATATTGAGAAATCTATACTAATATTATAAAGAGGTAAAATTTGTAAGTTTGTATGTAGGGGGTAATCTTTGGAACCATTGGTCGGATTGCCAAAATTCTTTCACTGATAGATAGCTACAATGTTCCTGAGTGTATAGGCTATAAAATATCATGCTTCGATTAAATGGAGCCGAGCAGCGGGTGAAACCGCGCCAGAGTGGCTAGTAAGAAATAATTTTATTAGTCCACTTGTTACAATTAGGTACTTATAGTAGTACCTTACATTATAAACTATTGTAACTATGAGTTCCGGTACATTGTTATAATATTTGAGAGTAAAGAGTTTTATAAAAACATTTTAGTTTTTTTCTGAAAGCCTAATTTTAAATCGGCATATCGTCTGTCATAATTTCAATGATATACTTAAGCTTATTGCAAAACCTCGTCATAACAAAGGGATATAGCGATTAAATCGCTATTTCCACAAAATATTTAATTCCAGTAATTTTCCCAAGATGAAGGTTACCTTCGCACAAATAGCTATTGGTTACAGCGAAATAAATAATTAAAGAACAATAAATTCTCTTTAAAAGCTCATTTGTTTATCGTATAATATTAATTGCTGAAGTGACCCCGTATAAGATGAATTATTCCGTAATTAGTTATACATAAGTACCTAAATAGAGTAACTATCTAGCTAATGCTGACCCTGGGTCAATGGGGCGGTGTACATGAAACCGACACGCGATTACCGCCTCTAATTGAATAGGCACTACGTTATCTGCTCCTTGTTTCTTTATTAAATTCCTATCAACTACGTCGGCTCTTTTTATCGGCCGCTTTTTCGGGACTTCAAGACCACATTCACTCACTAAGATATCTCTTTTTACTAGTGACAGATGTACCGACAGTGATACACTAAATTTATTATTATTAAATGAGAATGCTAATATGTAGTTCCAAACTGAAATTTAATTATTGCAATTGTATTGGCAGTGGATTCTTCATCCTCCCACCAAGAGTCTACTTTTTACTTATTAACAAACAAAAATCTTACTATTTTGGTTGTAAACTACTAATAAATCTAATTATTATTATATATCTTACCATATAACTATATACCTAACTATTATTATAACACCTCTAATACTTTATTAGTCATTTACTTCTCTGAAAACATAGTAAAATTTGGGCAAAAAATTAAGTCACTTAAATAAGTATCAATTTCACTATACAATTAAGATATTTTATACAGCATAAAACCTTTTTGGACTTTTTGACTAAGGAGCCACTTTTGCAACTTTAAACTGAGTTAATCCTTTCCCATACACTCTTCTCCCCTCAGTTGTATTCCTTTGATGATACTAGGCCACCTAACATCATAGAACAATATTTGTCATGTTCCCTTCCTGCCCGGTACCAATTTATTTCCGCGTGGCGTAGCGATAAAATACGCCTGCGCAAACATTATGGGGAGCTTATCTCAGCCGTCGGCTGGGAGTCCCCGGGAGCCCAGACTAGCCCTATTCTAGCTAAACATTACCTACTTTTAAATGATCAATTCATATGAGAATCGGATACGTCCGTATAAACTACAAATTAGGCTGCGTATGCGAAAGAGTCGTTTTCGGCAGCATATTAACAACTTCCGTCTGTTCGTTTATTACATTTAGATACCAGGTTCGTTTTGTCTCATTTTTACTCACAGTATTTTATACATTAATTGCCCACATATTTATTAAAGTACCTGTACTTTTCTATATGTGGTGAAATACTTATTCTGTAATCTTTCACAGAAATCTTACGTGTTCGTACAAATGATGCGAACGTCTACGCGTCTCTCCTTTTTAGCAGGTTTCACGTTGATAATTGATTTAATTCGCACTCTTAAAATACAAGACTGCTGCGTATATTCGTCTAAGCAGAAGTTAAAACTTGAAGTATTTCAATCTTTTTAAATTCCTCGATCAATTAGTTGGTCTTTTGGTAAGCATTTAGTGAGTTCAAAGCTCCGCTTCAGATTAAGATTTCCTCGCCTGCGTTGATCTCACCGGTGCAAGCAAACATCCCGTGGGTTTGCGCAGTGATTGTAGCCCGGCGTGTAAGTGTGTGTGCAAACAGGCACACAGGTGCCGATGCCGCCGGAACTCTCCGCCAACACAACCCCTGTTTGAACAGGCCACTTCGCGCCCTCCGCTCACTTCTAACATCTTGACATTTGAACTATTCATCAAACTTTGGCCGCGGCTTCATTCATGCTTTTGGGACAAGTGTTTATTGCTTTCGCTGCTTATCGATAAATGACTGACAAATTCTATGGCAAGGTTTCAATACTTAAGTAGATGATATTTATCCAGTGGTTATGCCGATAATAATTCCATCGTCTCTTATAAACAATGTTTAAAAAAATATATATTTATGTTCCAC